TCGGATGCAGGTTTGATAATTGCTCGACAATTACGCCCGCTGTCGTCAGATTATATTACGTGAAAGCAGTGAGTAGCCATGTACGAACCGACAAGCGTCTGCTCAATTTTTATCTGCAATTATGTAGATGATCTCTTTTGAGATTGTCCTGCTGTATCAGTGCATGTCATAGTTGTTCTGTACCGATAGGGAGTTCAATTGCATTTGCTTCTATTTCCCTTTATAAACCTGACCTGATCTGAACATATAGCGTGCAGTATTGTTCAGCAACTTAAATGGATTATTTCATTCATATTTTCGGTGCTTCAGGACCTAGCCAAATCGATGCCACAGATGCAGTCTCAACTGGAGGCGAACGTACAACATTACAGGACGTACGTAGAACAGAAGAAGGCTGCAAACGAAAAACCGGCCTTTACGGTGGAAAACATGCTGAGAGAACTAGCTGAGGCCCTGGACGATCTGCAGTTTGTCCAAAGGGAGTATGTGAGTAAAACAAAAGCAGACTCTTTCGAAATACTTATGGCATTCTTGGCGCAAACTGAGCTTTACTTTAAGGTTACTCGAGTCCCTCTGGACTCAAAGTCATATGGAGTATTGGCATTTCCTTGTGCCATGAAGCACTGCTCCTGTGTATGTGCAGGTCATTTCAAAACTAATATTTTAGTTTCTTCGCAAACGCTTTCCACTTAAATAAATTCACTCCGCCTAAGGTAGAAATTCTACCGACAGGAATAGTCTATTATCTTCATTGATTAATAGGCATCAGTAATCTAAGCAACAGGAGTTTATCTTGATCGATTTCATTTGATTTTGCTCACTTAAACAATTATAAGTGACTTTAGTTTGCTTTTTCTTGTTCACTTTTTCAACTAATTTAACACGCATTGACATTTCTTAATCCAGTATTTAGCCTTGAATACGAATATCATAATATACTTGGGTGGGGGAGTTTATTTTTAGGGGGCTTCATTAGACAGTTTTGCACCTTTTTGTATGTTTATATTTCTAAACCTTAAAGGAGAAAGGAGATTTCGAAGTTCGTCACTGATCCATCCTCAGAGATAATAGCAGCAACGAGTTATTCGCACAGAAGGAGTTGCAGTATCTGTAGGATACAATCACGGCGCATACCTATGGACCCGACGCGATATTTCCCTCTCAAAAAAGATCCGCGTGTACCGTGCGTTTGTGCGGGCCGTCCTTCTATACGGATGCGAATGTTGGACTCTGCGCGTGGAGGATGAACAGAAACTGGAAGTCTTTGACCACTACTGTCTGAGGAATATCCTTCGAGTGAAGTATACTGACTTCGTCTTAAA